TCCAGTTTTTCTCAGTCTTACCCCACCCCAATGCCAGCCTCATTCTACAACAGTGGCACCATATAGCATTTGTCCCTTTGGTGACACTTTTGAAAAACCTACAGGAGCAGGTGATGGCTGTAACTGCACAAGTACAAGCTCTGACCAAAAAAGTTCAAGCTGGAGTCTATCTTACAGAGAAGGGTCTCAGCTTACTGGAAGTGAAAGACCAGCTGCTGCTCATGTACCTTATGGATCTGAGCCATCTCATCCTGGACAAAGCCTCACTCAGGTGGATCTCTTCAAGGACATGCTACAGTTTTGAGACTAGTGGAGATTCGCACGGTTTTGGAAAAGATTCGTCCCTTGGACCAAAAACTGAAGTATCAAATTGACAAACTGGTCAAGATTCCAGTGACAGGCAGCCTGAGTGAGAATGACCCACTTCGCTTTAAGCCTCATCCCAGCAATATGATGAGTAAGTTGAGCTCAGAGGATGAGGAGGAAGGTGAGGCAGAAGAAGGTCAATCTGAGACCTCAGGAAATAAATCTGTAAAAGGAACATCTAAGAAGTATGTTCCTGTGCATTGTGATGAAACAGAAGCTGAGCGAGAGAAGAAGCGTCTGGAACGAGCCAAAAAAAACGGGCCCTGAGCAGTTCTGTTGTCTGGGAACTCAAGGAGCAGTACTCGGATGCTCCAGAGGACATCCGTGATGCTCTCGGCATCCTCATGTAACCCGCCAGAGTCAGGAGGATCAACACAGGATTAACTATGAGGAGAGCATGATGGTTCGTCTAAGTGTCAGTAAGAGAGAAAAAGGACGACGAAAACATGCAAACATCATGAGCTCACAACTTCATTCCCTTACGCACTTCAGTGACATCAGTGCTTTGGCCGGAGGAACTCCTCATCTTGATGAGGACCAGAATCCTACTAAGAAGCGAAAAAAGATGCCCAAGAAAGGTCGGAAGAAAAAAGGTTTTCGGAGGCGGCGATGATAATGAGTGTACATTTTTCTGGGGTTTTTTTTGGTCATCCTGGGATACTTCCAGTTTCACTGTATGTAGGATTTTGTTCTTGGAATTCATTAATTTTTGGACATGTGGAAAGCTTCATGTTAATAAAATAGATTTTACTTACAAAAAAAAAAAAAAAAAGAGAGAGAGAGAGAGCTCTGGTGGCCTGGTGGTTAAGTATTCTGGAATTCTCATACTTATCATTGTTATCTATAATTTTTTTAAATTTTATTTTATTAATTTTAATGAACATTTACAGAAATTTTGGATTTTCCTTCATTCATTGTTGCACTTTTTTCTTTACCCCCTCCCCCCAGTTCGCTCCTCTCTTTGAAAAGAAAAAGATAAACTTGTTTGTTGTATACAATCCCCCCGCCCCTGACCCCGCCCCCAATGCACTCTGCTATGCAATCTTAATTCTGGATTCCTGTGATAATCATAATATGCTATCATATATCACTTTTAAACTGTTCTCTCCCTCATCTGTTTCAATTCAGTGTACATAATCTAGCCATTTTTTCTCAGTCTTACCCCAACCCTGATGTCAGTCACTTTCTACAATAGTGGCACCATGCAGTATTTGTCCTTTTGTGACTGAGATATTTTACTCAGCATAATGTCCTCCAAGGTCACCCATTTTATCAATAATTTTTAATGATCCACACAGTCCAACATCTTTGTGTGGTCAACAAACACTATAAACCTTGTATAAACATCCTTTTGGTATTCTTTACTTTCAGCCAAAATCCAACAAGTATCAACAGTAATTTCTCTCTAAATAGTCTTCTGAATTCATCTTGAATTTTGGGCAGTTCACTTTGGATGCACTGTTGTGATAATGTTTTAACAATCTTTAGTAAAATTTTACTTTCATTCTTTGGAGTAAGCATGTATATAGTTATCTTCCAATTGGTTGGCCAGGTAACTGTCTTCCCATTTTGTTGGCATAAATGTGTAAGCACATCCAGTGTTACATCCATTTGTTGAAACATCTCAACTGACATTCCATCAACTAACTCATTTAATAGTGCATTTTAGTTGTATAGAAACTATTCTTTAAAAGAAAAGAAAAATATTCAATCAGCTGCCATCAGGTCAATTCCAAATCATAGTGACTTCACGTGAACTAGAGTAAAATATTGTCTATAGAGTTCCTGGTGATTGGTTTTCTGAAGGCCTTTCTTTCAGAAATTTGTCTTCACTGTGACCTTTAACCTGTTAGTTAGCAGTTGAGCTCATTAACTTCCAGGCACTCCAAGAACAATTGTTAACATTTATTGAATACTTACTATTCACAGGCACAATTTTAAGCTACACCTACAGCTTTTTGCTGCAGAAAATTAAACACTGCAACCTTCAATACAGATTGCATCTCAACATCAAAAAACAAAATTTCTCACCACTGATAGGTGATGACCAATAGGTGATGTCATGATAGATGGAGAAAAGATTTAAACTGTCAATGACTTCATCTTAGTTGTATCCACAATCACTTATACTTGGTATCAGCAGTCAGGAGATCTGATAGCATATAAGACTGAGAAAGTCTGAAATCAAGGACCTTTCCAAATTATCAAAGAGTAATGATGCCAAGTTGAAGACTAAGGTGCACCTGATTCAGACCATAGTGGTTTGGTGTTTTGTTTTTGGTTTGTTTTTTTTTTTCAATCACTTGCTGTGCTTCTGAGAGATGGATGACAGAAGAAAAAGCTATGCCTTTGAACTGTGGTATTGGAGAAAGAGTTCTGAAGATCCCATGGACTGTGAAGGGGACAAACAGCTATGTCTTGGAGAAGGTGAAGCCAGAGTGCTCCTTGGCAGCAAGGATGGTGAAGCATATCTTGCATACTTTGGGTGTATTGCAAGGAAAGGATATTTCTTGGAGAAAGATATCATGTTAAGAAAGGTGGAGGGACAGCAAAGGAGAAGGTGAGCCTCAACTAAGTAGCTTGACACAATGACTTTAACAACAGGTTTAAGCATATCAGAGATGATGAGGTTAGCACAGGCTAGGACATGGTTCGAAAGGTCACTATGTGTCATACTCAACTCGATAGCACCTCACAATAACAACAATAGCTTCTGATCTCTAGTATTACACCTTGTGAATGGATTAATAAAAAAACAGAAATTGCTTTATTTTTCTCAGAGATGTTATTACATATTTAGCTTATACACCTGAATGTAAAAATATAGAGAAATATCTAGTTTTTATATGTAAGGACCAAATGCTAAGTAGTGCTAAGGAAAGAATAACTTCTAAAGACCTAAATCTATGAGTTCCATATGACTTTAGGGAACTTATTACTTGAGAAAAAATGAGAAACCTGATATGAAAAGAGCATAAAAAAGATTTATTGAAAATAAATCTTCAAGTAAATGCAAGACTTCTGTTATTCTTTAATCATAAGCAAAGTAACCACCCTCTCTTAAAGAATTAAGACTTTGAAACAGTGGGATTAAAAAGTTCATGTGCTTTATCAATTTTTTTCTTTTTTCACTGCAAACTTTTTGTACATGACCTTTAGCAATGACTCAAGTGCATCTGTGTTTATGTATGGATGCTGAATGAGATAGAGAAACAGATGGACAGTGAGAAAACCAAGCACTTGGAGAGTTATCTGACCATTTGTAATTGGAAGTCAGATAATCTATTTTAAAATTCAGGGGAAAATTTAGGATAATTTTAAGTTGGGAATGTTATTCAATATTTAATTTGAAATATATTCACAAGATGTAACTTAACTGTCACTGGAGAAGTTAGTAATGACAAGTCATCAGTGTAAATTGGCTTAAATGCTTTAATTTGGTTCTCAAATCACACAAGTGTAGAGGCATATTTTGTTTATCCTTAGATTTCCTGTAACTATTACCATAACACCTTAGATAATGGGGAGGGGGGAAGTATGCAACTGAGAAATGGATAACTTGTATTCTAGTTCTTGAGGATCCTACTCTAACATTGTATTATAATATAGCTCAAAATTTAGTACTTTAGTCTATCTTAGTTATCTAGTGTTGCTATAAGAGATACCACAAGAAGATGGCTTTGACAAACAGAAATTTATTATTCTATTTTAGGAGACTGGTAGTCCAAACTCAATACGCCAGTTCTAGGAAAAGACCTTCTACATCAGTTCTGAAGGAAACTTGGTGAAAAGTTCAATATCTTTAGATCCAGCATCCCTTGAAGATCTCCATGTGGCATTGCCTTCCCAGGTGCCGAGGAGCTTCTTCAGAGACAAAAACTTAGAAGGATGCACTCCGCACCTAGCAATTCGTTCTTGGCGGTACTGAGGTCCTCCTCTCTGGAGTGATAAGAGATATTGGAGGCCATAAAAAAGGAAACTGTCAACAAATTCATCTTATTTGGACCCACAATCAAAAAATACACTTGGCATCAGCAGTCAGGAAATCAGGAGACAAATTTCACTTGGAAAGTGTGTAGTCAGCGACCACTCTAAGTTACTGAGGAGTAATGATGTCAGTTTGAGGACTAAGGTGTGCCTGATTCAGGACATGGACTTTTTAGCTTTTTGCTTTGTATCTGAGAGCTGAATGACAACTCAAAATGACAGGAGAAGAATTGATGCCTTTGAAATGTGGTGTTGGAGAAGAGAGCTAAAGATTTCATGGATTGAAAGTACAGCCAGAGTGTCACTTGGAGGCAAAGATGATGAAGTCTCATCTCACATGTTTTGAACATGTTACTAGGAGAGTTTACTTCTGGGAGAGAGGCGAAATGCTTGGGAAGGTGGAAGGGCAGTCAAAGAAAAGAAGACTTTCAACCAAATGTGTTGATCTGGTGACTGTGACAGTACATCAGATATTGTAACGATGGTATGAAACAGGACAGTGTTCATATTGGTTGTTTTCAAGGTCACTATCAGAGGTACTCAACGGCACCTAACAGCAACATGATTTTAGCCAGTAATCAAAAGCATTTCTCTGAATTAGAGTCCGAGATCATATACTATTTGTATTCTAACACTTATAAATGATAGTCGATATGAAATTTATAATATACAACCACAATATGTTCAAAGTAAGTTGAAAACAGTTCAACCAGTTACTTTCTGATAAAAGTGCTCCACTGCTAATCAAAAGATCAACGTTCAAATTCACCAGCCACTATGCAGAATAATGAGGGGAAATTATATTCTGGGAAGCCCTATGGGAAGTTATACTGTATGTTTTATGGTCTCTGCTAGTCGTATTCAGCTCAGTGATAATGGGCTATTTATATATGAGGATGAAAACTAATCTTTTCCCATTGAGTTCCATCCCTTCCCCACCAGACAGATGTCAAAAAGCAAATGTGCAAAGAGAATTATTATTTCCACTTTATTAAATAAGAAAGTAAAAATGAAGCAAGTAATTCACTCAAATTCACAGTTTTATGAAGTGAGTGAACTAGAATTTAATCCAAGACTAATAAATTCCGTAAAGTTAAATTTCTTTCTTTTCCATTTTGCCAACTCATGTATTAAGGGAATACAACTCCCTGAAGGCAAGGAATGAGTTCTGTCTATCATTGTATCTCTAGTTTCAACACAGTGATGAACAAAAACCTTTTAAATCTATTCAATAAAGCCATGTGGGCACGTAACTTCCAAACTCACATTAGAAATATGTCCCAGGCCATATTCAGTCCTCAGGGAAGCTCTATCCACAAGCAGTTTCATATGCTTAACCTAATTTGTTTATCATCATTGTATTTTCTTGTGGGTGATACTATGGGAAAAGTTGAGAGATAATTTATCAATACAAGCAGGGAAAATTATGTGCTCATAATGTGCTCGTAACAGTAAAATACTTGCAAGATTGTAAGAAAGGGCCACAGCTCTAACCTCAGTTGGAATGGAAACCAAGAGAACCAATGGACACCATGATAACTGGTTTCCTGAATCTGAAATGACAATGAAAAAGTAATTGATAAGGGAGAGAGAACAATAACCCTATCCCAAAAGCAGAGAAGGAAAAAGTGAGATTGGATTATTTGAGTTATGGATGGAACTAAGAGACAATTGGAAGGTAATGTAAGTTTCTTTGTATCAGGATTCAAACTGATTTTGCCTAAGAGTGTATTAAACTATGCTATATTTTAACACAGAATGAAATTCCCTCTATCATTCATCATAATGACAATGATTACCATCTATTGGTGTTATAAATTGAATTGAGACCCCTAAAAAATCTGTCTAAAAGTTCTAACTTCTGTACTTGTGAATATGACTTTATTTGGAAATTTTGTCTTATGTTCATGAATTCATACTGGATTATGGTGACAATATACATAATTGTTTCTGAGTAGAGGGGTTTTTTGCATCTTTTTTAATTTTTTTTAATATTTTACTTTCTTTATTTATCATTTCAATGAAC